TTTATTATAAATATTAATATTTAATTTATAAAATATTTATGATAAATAAAAATTGATTTAAATAATAAGTTAAAAAGATTTCTAGAAAAATTTCTAAAAACGCTCTTGTAAAAAATAATGATTAGTGTTTAATATACAAGAATTGATTTTGAAGTGTTTGAATACATTATTACATTAGTATTTATATGTTGTTGTTTCATTTTTAAAATTTAAATCTTGATTAAAAATAAATTCAAATTTTAAAACTAACCGAATAATCAATATGCGAAGAAAAGAAAGATATTAAAAGGGGTTGAAGAATGTCAATAAAAAAAACTATACTTTTTTTAAAACAATGAAATAATATCCTAAAATCTTACCAGTGCAAATGGAAATTTTTTTAAAAAAAATACACACGGTATTTTTATAATGATTTGTATCAACTACCAAGATTGTGTCTAGTTGTTAATCAACTGATTAAACTTTACTATCTTTTATAAAGATACAAATATTCTTTCATAAGTCACTCTTAGTTCAACCTAAGTATTTTTTTCACTTCTCTCTTCAAGTAACTACTCAAGTATTCTTTAAATACAAAGTTTCTTCAAACTTCAATAACCAATTATTCTTTTATAGTCAAATATTTTTAGACTTAAAACAACAACACATAGTTAAAGTTGAGAAATTACTTTGTTGTATCTTACTATCAACACGTGATATAACTAGTTTAAGTACAAGACTTTTTTATGGAAAGAATGAATAAGAATTTTTATAATTAAATTGATTCTATCTTTTTTTTCTTTTTTCTAAATCTTTAAATTTCTTTATATAAGGTTTTTTTCATAAAGATGACCATTATAAATCCTTAAACATCTTTCATATGTTTATTTTGTTTATCTTCATCTTCTTTTCTTATGGAGTGAAGTATCAATTAGTGCATTAATTATAGGTGTTCCTACAGCAAATTCGCTGTCATCGCATCCGAGGTATTATTCATTTTGGCTTGTTGGGTCGTCACGGTTTTACCTTTTAAAAGGCGCCTCAGTGGTTAAGGAGGGAGAATGTTTATAAACTATTCTTAGCCTCAACTCCTAAGCGATGTGAGACTTTTAGGCATACTAGAACAATAAGCATTAAAAATATTTTATTATATTATCACTTCTTATATGATTAAGGAAGTTATTTATCACCTTTAATGTATAAAACAAAAGGAATGATAGCATGTGTCAGTCAAAAATGATTTTTTTTTAGATTTCATGTACTTTGAGAGATTTACTTGTCTTTTTTCTAATGCAAAACATGTTTGTATTTCTTTTCATAGTATGGGTACTGAAATTTTTTTTATTCCTTTTAATCTGTTAAAGAATAATATAAACAAATATGATTTAATTATCATATATTATAAATGATATATATTAAATACTTTTGTGAGATGAAAAATTTAATGTCAATATAATCAATTGTCTATTATAAATCATCTTATAGTATGATTTTAAAAAAAAATCTTAAAAAAAGTTTAAATTTATTATCATTAAACTTATGTTATGAAGAATTCAACATCATCTTTTGATCAACCATATGAATATATCGAAACTTTGCATACAACAATGACAAATTGCATTGGGTTCTGGAACACCATACTTCAACCACCTCTTAAACTACGGTTGCAATTTTGTTTGCGTATTAGTGAAATTGTTAAT